TTCATGAATGATGCCGGCAACCCTGAAGTGACGCCAACGTAGCATGTTACAAACATCCAATTTTGCTTACGGAGACTTAAATGTTTTCATATATGTATACCACTCATTGCACCAAAGAAAATGATTTATCGAAAACCTGAGAGAAATTTTGAATCATTCATTTTTCTTCACGGCTATGCCATACAGGCAGAAATTTTGAAGTTCTACCGTAAGTTAAAAAGACGAAATTAAGAAATTATCGGAAATATTTTAATTGACGAAAAGAGATTATTATTTATTTAGGCAGAGCGCTACTACCAGGCGCTCTGGAAGTCAAATGGCTACCAACAGTGATTTTTTACTCCGCAGAAATATTTTTGTCTCATGTTTGAAGCAGATCTGATGAACACATTTCTCACTCGAGTACGGTTGCTCCTGTCACCATATGTGGCCTTCATTAGCGTAGATAGGCACTGTGTATGTTTGTATGCATTCCATTTAGTTTAGAGCCCATGTATTTAACGTGAAGCTCACGATTAGTAGTGTGACCGTGGACCGCGGAGCTCGCTATGCACAAGCCGATGCAGCGCACGAGCTTCATCGGCCAACCACCTGGTATCATGTAGCTTAAAATTACGTTTCTTTAGACAATAATGTCTGCATCGTGGGTTGAAAGTTTGTATTTTGGAAATTATTCTCTTTGATTTTAAGTATTTATCTATACCTGATCAGAAAATCTGACTACTTTTCAAGTGCTATACTTTTCATGTCCGTAACATGGCTGGGTATCAAAGTTACGTCAGCGTATGATTGACAGCAAAGAAAGGTTCGAAAATACTACTCATAATCATACATTTAATGTGTATCATATGTACCTTAAATTACCTGGTGATTTTCTTCGTGTTCAATATTTAGTAAGCGGGAAAAATTTGGCTCTGAAGGGGAAGTTAGTTGTACATACAGTATATCTAAGACTGAGACCAACTCGTAGGCTTCATGAGTATAGTGCCATCTTTAACCTCTCCTAATTGATGGAATCAAAGTAAATTAATAAAATTCATCCATATGAAAGAAAATATCGTCATTCCACAAGAATTTTCATGCAAGTCTGGTGCCATAGCTAATTTATAGTCTTGAAACGCAGAATTACTCGTCTACTTGCTAAAGAAACTTTTCGAAGGGATCGAGCAAACACCATTGATACAAGACGCAAGGTTATCGGAAGCGAAGAGCAATAAGTATGCTTCTATAGCAATCTTTAGTCAGTCATGCATGCCAGTAACGACCGCAGTGTGAGAATTCGCTTTCGTCCAAGTTCATTTATAGCGTGGAATTTTGTTCCAAAAGGAAGCCATTTGCGTAAATTAGATTACTTAGACTTAGAGTAAATTCGTGGCCCCATTGTAACGTTGCCATAGCACGATCAGTGGTACGAAGGTTAATTGTGCCGCTCAAGCGGCGCTTCTTCTTTTGAAGATGACGGGGCCGGTCAAGGCCGGACTACTTGAGCGACTTTCCACGTAGCCTCACAAGCCTTCTTTTAGGCTGTAAAATATTTCCCTTTACCGCCAGCCGCGCGAGCAACATCGACGGTGCTCGGATTTTGTTGAAAAATAAGAACCGATGCGATTGATTAATTAAATTGGATTTCAGAACGTGAATGATTTTCTATGCAGCGTAAAATATACAGCCGTTAGAAGATGGTTGGGTTTCAAGTTTTGTGACCTATAATGGTGGAAAAGAACAAAGAAAACTTAAAGCAATATCATCACATCTATGATCTATAACAAAAAGGTCGAGGATCAACTGTCTCATGAGTGCAACTTCAACTATACAAGTGCAATCAATAGAAAGACCAAATTCACACGAAGAGAGTAAAACCGATATATTAAATAAACGAGCACATGTACTAAAAAACTTAGTGAAAAACAATTACAAGCTGATAAACACCATGAGCGTTTATGAGACAAAATTTTAATTTAAAAAGTTGAGATGCCATGATCCCATTTAATTTGCTTGAAGTTTCATTTGCCAATGGAAGCTATTGTAGCTCACGAACAGTTGAGTTAAAACGACATTCTCAGTATAGTTGAATATAAGCTTAGGTGTTCTGAGAACTTAATGCGAACTGAGCTCATGTTAATTGGACGCATTTTGCATTCGTAAATTATTTCCGCTGTACGTTGCACGCCACACCTGAGTCCTTTTCTTAGTAAAGTTCTTTGATATTTTGGGCAGAGGGCTCATATTAATTAATATGGATTAAACCCAGCAAGAGGTGATTCATTTGTCGTGAAAATTCATTTCGTTTAATTATTCTTCAGCTGCGTCGGTCTACAGCCGCTCATATATGAGCTACGACACACTGTTGATATCCTGCTCTTGTTACAACACAACGTGTAACTTGTTTGTGACGCTCTTGTTACAACGTGTATATAACTGGTTTGTGACGCTCTTGTTACAACGTGTTTGTGACGCTCTTGTTACATCGTATAACTGGTGTGTGACGCTCTTGTTACAACACAACGTGTAACTGGTTTGTGACGTTCTTGTTACAACGTGTAACTGGTTTGTGACGCTCTTGTTACAACACAACGTGTAACTGGTTTGTGACGTTCTTGTTACAACGTGTAACTGGTTTGTGACGCTCTTGTTACAACACAACGTGTAACTGGTTTGTGACGTTCTTGTTACAACGTGTAACTGGTTTGTGACGCTCTTGTTACAACGTGTAACTGGTTTGTGACGCTCTTGTTTTTACGTGTAACTGGTTTGTGACTCTCTTGTTACTTGTAACTGGTTTGTGACGCTCTTGTTACAACGTGTAACTGGTTTGTGACGCTCTTGTTACAACGTGTAACTGGTTTGTGACGCTCTTGTTGCAACGTGTAACTGGTTTGTTATACTCTCGTAACTAGCGAGGACCGCGTACAATAAAAAACTAAATAATATACGCTTAAAAATTACTTTTTAAAGACAACACTTCCAAAGAATCCAGTGTCTCCAATCTTAAAGATTTACCATGAATTCCTCATTTAATTTTCGTATATTAAAAAATTAATTTTTCAATTTTTTTAATATATAAATTTTAATTTCTTTTCAAAATTAATTATTCTATTAATTGATTCATGCATTGCCTCGACTTAATTTCTTTTCAAAATTAATTATTCTATTAATTGATTCATGCATTGCCTCTGACTTCACACAAGTGTGCAAAATTTCAGATCAATTAGACAGGTAAAAGTGTGTCAAATATCAGTTACCTGTAAGATTTGTAGCTGACAAAATTATTTTTTCAATTTTTTTAATATTGAAATTTTTTTTTTTTACTTTTTAAAATCATTTATTTTGACATTTGATTCATGCATTGTCTCCAACTTCAAACAAGTATGCAAAATTTCAGATCGATAGGATAAGTAGAAGTGAGTGAAATTTCGATTACAAGATTTGTAGCAGACAGACAGACAGACAAGAAGTGAAGTTAAAGAGAAGTGTTGTAAAAAGAAGACGATTTGCAGCGTAGGAAGAGAAGAAAAATTGCTAGGAATTAAAACAAGAGGACTTGCAGTATTGCAATTATACAGCGTGTCCCAAAAAAACGATATTCAAATTTGAATGGCTGTAACTCGAAAAGTGAGAAAGTTGAAAAATTTTGGAAGGTCAGGATTTGTTTCCTATGTTTTTCTGCATCTCTCCACCAAAAGTCAGACAGATCTATATAGCCATAAGCGTTTGATAGAACTTTCAGTGACATGTGCTAAAATCGTGCTTGCGCAAAGTTTTAGTGAGATAATTTTGCATAATCATTACGTTGTCTTGAGAAGTTTTTCTCTGTTTTATTTATTGTATCTTTGGTGAGACAAAAACATGGCAATCTTTGGTGAGAGAAAATCATGAAAATCTTTGGTAAGAGACAATCATTGCAATCTTTGGTAAGAGACAATCATGGCAATTTTTGGTAAGAGACAATCATGGCAATCTTTGGTGAGAGACAATCATGGCAATCTTTGGTGAGAGGCAATCATGGCAATCTTTGGTGATAAAGATTGTCATGATTGTGTCTCAGCAAAGATTGCTATGATTGTGTCTCACCAAAGATTGTCATGATTGTCTCACACCAAAGATTGTCATGATTGCCTCTCACCAAAGATTGCCATGTTTTTGTCTCACCATAGATACAAAAAAAAAAGCAGCGAAAAGAAAACATGTCAAGACAACGTAATGATTAGGCAAAATGATCTTGCTAAAACTTTGCGCAAGCACGATTTTAGCACATGTCACTGAAAGTTCTATCAAACGCTTATGGATACATCGACCTGTCTGATTTTTGGTGGAGAGATGAAGAAAAACATAGGGAACAAATCCTGACCTTCCAAATTTTTTTAACTCTATTACTTTTCGAGTTACAGCCATTCAAAGTTGAATATCGTTTTTTTTTGGGACACCCTGTATAGCTTAATCTAGGGAGACATAGCCGCACAGTTCACCGCATTCGACAGCAGCAAGAGTCATCAACCAGGCCTAAATTGGCCAGGCCTGTTTTACTTAAAATTGTTGTCATCGAGCAGCCCTTGGAGGTCTGGGAACCCTGAGGTAACATGGCGATCCACAAGTGCTACATGTTAATATCTAGTATTATATCTCATTAAATGCAATGTTAATTAGCGCATTATGTAGTTTACTCTTTGGATTTGGCGACAGCTGCAAATTGTTTTCCGATTATCTTGTTTTAGGAAGTAAACATTTAGTTTAGAAAAATTCTGCTGTCAAAATAACCGATGACTCCAAAAATGCAAGCGCATCACTTGAAATGCTCTCGCCTACCACTAGTGGTACCAGTACCACAGTTTGGGAACTACAGCATAACGTGGTTCTTGAAGTAAACTAAACTAAACGTTGACAATAATTTTAACTCCAACCAAAACTCTATGGAACGACCTAAAGTCACATCAAGACATATACCATTTCTCCACGATTCCTCCATTCAAAGTAGCATTAGAGGGATAGGATGGAAACATCAGTAAATTAATGCCATTTATTTTTAAAAGTAAATTTGCAGTTAACATAAGCACGGAATGCCCAACTTATCGGCGCAGCAATTGGCTCGAAGTTGGCAAAGGCTAAAATACACAAATGTACATCACACACTAATATGTACATATCAAACACCAGACAGACATTTCATAGCAAATATTGTACTAGTGAAAAATATATACAATGGTTACATTTGCGCCTCAATAACATCGAGGTACGGATCAGTGACATAAACAACAGTCCAGAGTGGAAAAAAAAAACAAACGTCGGGTCCGATCTTTGAATTTTATGTCTGGTAATACGATAAGCCCTAAAAACATTTACTTCTGTTGTGTGCAGGAGTTAAAACGCGGGAATTTCTGTAGGGCCAAGAGTTACATTTAAAGGAGACTATATCAAAATAAAAAATGAATTTACCTTCATAACAAAATATAGTCTGGCATCAATGGGAGTCGATAAGAAGACGAGCTACAATAAATAGTGCAAGTGAGGCTAATATTCAATTATAAACAATAACGACTAAATTCTATTTTTATACTCGTATTTTGCTGTTAAAACAATTGCATGAACTTTGTGATACGCAGTTGAAAGTAATACAGGCTCTTGTGTGCAGCTAGTGAGCAGTAGTAGTCGCACTGCACAACCACTGTACCGTACCACAGTTCGAAGTACACTTCACTGTACTACACTGTACCGCAGTACTACACGCACCACGTAGTAGAGCTCTTTGAAGAAATACGTGCTCCATGAGTGCAGCATTACAATAGATGTACAGAATACTTGTGTTCCGCCGCCCATCCGTAAACATGGGACGGATGAAGGATAGTGTCCTACGTGTGACGAAATGAAAGGAATAGAAAAACATAAAATTCTATGGTCTAGTTAGCTAAATAAAATAATAACAAATAAAAATTAGCTAATTGAGGAGCAGGTGGGCGCGTTGTGCCACGATCATGTCAGTGAATTAACGCGCGGTCTTAACTGCCATCGCTGTTCACGACTCGTAAAGTTAACAGAAGAATATCATTATGAGGACGAAGAGAGAACAAACATGTTCTACTACATAGACTTATTCAACTTTCGTAATTATCGTTGAGAGTAACCATACACTGTATAACAATTACATCAACAGAGAAATCATGAGAAATAGACTCTTCGAGATGTTAAGATAAGTGAGAGCATAATGTCAAATCTGCCAAATGATGTCAATGTAATGCATGACAACTCTCAGATTATTTGAACGCAGATGGCGGTAGGGTGAGGATAAAATACTTCAATATGATGTACTAGGGGAGAAAATTCGGATTGATAAGAAAGTTAACGACGGGTGAATCTGAGAGGACGGATGAGACCACGTAAGACCACGACCGTCCGGTGTATCCACCGTTCATCTGGGGCTTTTCTTGTAGAAACAATCGCAAGTTTAAATTTGTTTCTTGACATAGAAACTGTTCCAGTTGTACATGGTCTCAGAATGTCAGACTAGTACTATTCCAACAAGATAACATAGCTTCGTGAAATTTTCGTTTCCAGACAATAAAAAAGAAGATTGCATGCTAGCGCAAGACTCACATCTTGAATCGACTACAATACTGAGGGTGCGATCACACGACTTCATCTGTTCTGGCAGTAATAAAGAGCATAGAAAAAGCTCAAGAGGAATAAGGAAATTTGTACTTGAGGATCACAACACATCAATATGAATCGTTGCAGTTACTACAACAAGTAAAATCCTGCAGGGCCTCCCCTCGCTCATTAAAGTGAGAAACGATCTGGGATTGAACAGCTCTAAGTAACAAAAAAGCGCGTTTACAAATAAGCAAAGCAAGGCATGATTAGCTATAAATGACCATTCACAGGGCAAGTATAACTCGTTTGCATCAATCCTCTCTAGTGATTGATTAGGTTTTAATTGAAACGTTTAAGAGCATCAACGTGCAAACGATAACAAACCAGAATAATTATCTTGAGAAAGGGCATGCAATTTTGTATGAGTAGCATATAAGCTACAAGATGCGGCGCTAACGTGTAAAACCTTCATAGAGGCAAAGAAAACATTGTAATCATTTTGCATTGAGCAGGTATCAGACTAATTTCTATATTCGTCAAGTTGAAGAAGTTAAACAACAAACTAAGGCTCTGGCTCAAGCGTTTGACAGAGCACGCACAAAACAAACTGCAGTGAGGTTAATCAGACGCAATACAAAACAGATCCTCGACACCTGATGCAGGTCAAACGATGGCCACGATGAAGTGATAATGCCAGAATGAGGGGAACCAGTAACGGGCGGGACGAGAGAGCGATTAGGTTCTCATAAGCCACGGGCGAGAACTGAGAGCGATTGGGCTGTCATAAGCCACGGGAGAGAAGCGAGAGCACTTCAGCTCTCAACATGAGTGGACAAAAGTGAACAAGAGAACTTTAGTTGAGAGTTCCCTTGCATTGAGGAGCGCCACACAAACAAACGATTTTCTCGTCTTCGATGGGGAATTTGTAGTCGTAGGTGATCTCCTCCCCGCACTGGATTGGCTGCTTCGAATAAATCACAATTTTCTTGCGGTTCTCCAAGTTGACGATCTTTGCATAGCAGTTAGGCTGGAAAATTGAAAACGGGTCATAATTCAATGAGTCATAACGGGTCATAATTCATAATGAGTCATAATTGACGATATTCAATTAACTAATAATAAAAGATGCTATTATTGTACAGTAAATATTGAAAATAATTATTCATGAACCACACACTGCCGTCAATTACTTTTCTCCAATAACTTAACACCAATTCATATCAATAGAAATTTTGATAATTTAGTACAATTCAATCAACGAATCTCCTATAACAATAATATAATCATTATCACATATATTTTCAAATCATTCCTAACACTACTTATGTAACGTACAAATTATCAACAGAATCAAAATCTAGAAATAATAAACTGGACAAAACTCACATTGCAGGAATGGTTGATGAACCTAGCAAGATTTCCACACTTGGTGGCATCGATGATATTTTCCACGTCAATCCTGAAGAGATACGAGGACCCGATGCCCATTTTCTCGTAGTTAACTTCCCTGAGGTCGGCCATGATGGACCGGATGGTCTGGCCCACGTACTCGATGACCATCTCGTCCGCAGCGATGGGCTCCATCGCAAATAAGCCCCAGTCGTGGATGCGCGACTTGCCGAACTTAAGCTGCTTTTTCCGGAACTGCAGGGTACAATCAATTTGTTAAGTTTCGAGATCATTTTTCAATACCAAAACAACGGTTCAGATATTAGGAATTATTTTATGAACAAGTTTGGGTATGAAAAATAGAGACATACCCTAGCTTAAGCAAAGAACAATTTTTCCAATAAACGAATCAACTATAGATGATAGTACGTGTACAAACAATAATTTAAAGGAAGACGTGACCAGATTAAACTTTTCCACGCTCGTTATCATATTAAAGACAAGAGTATGGAAGGATTGCGAAATTTTTCTGCAAGTAACATTGCACTTAGCCTAATGCAAATGACATTCCCATGTTTCACTTTGAACCAACTGAGTCAGATAAGAGGACATGCACATGTATTCAACTTTTAAACAATCGTCAACTCGAGTAGATGAAATTTGATAAGCAACTACTACGTCAACAAAACATGAACCAAAATGATTATAAAATGAAGAGCGTACTTTGAGTTGATTAAACTTGAGGAGCTCGGACTCAGTGGCTTCGTTGCCGAAGGCGGTGAGGAGGCGACGTTGGAAGGAGCGCACCTCTCTGCTCACTGACGTCTGCGTCGCCTTCACCTTGCTGCTCTCGCGCTCCGCCAGGCTCTGCACGGCCACTGCAGGCTTCGTGCTAGCCAGCTCCTTGTGGAAAGTGAACTGAAAAAAGCAGTTATTGGGTAATAATATCAACTGTACATGAACATTTTTTGTTACAAACCTACTGTGTGAAGAATTTTTAGCAATTATCACAGGACATGAACAAAACAAGAATCACGTTACAAAAAATTGAAAGATGAATGCAGGTATAGCTAACATTCATTCACAAGCGAAATGAACAACAAAGGGCGATACTGACATCAAACTTTCATTTTCGTTTATTTGAACTGGCTAATTGATTAAATTCCACTGATATTCAAATCAAATCAAGTTCACAGAATCGTGAACACAGTACACACACAGAATTGTGAATGCATCGTACTTTATCCTAAGATCGTTAGACCGACTGCCATCATAAACACGTGACTGCGAGACGCACCTTGTGTTGTTGCTTCTGTTTGGAGTCGACCTTATAAATGCCTTCAGTTCTGGCCGAGCCTGTCTTGTGTTCAGGCAGTTCTTCGGGCTGCTGCTGGAGCTGTGATTGTTTTCTTTTCTTCCTGACAGGGGACGCGGTAATGGAGGGAAAGGTGCTGCGGGTGGGCGGGTGATCGACCCAATGAGTGTCGTTCAACCAAGGATGATTGTCTGCTACCAGGAGTCGTTCATAGCAACTCTTCAGCATTTCTATGTCTTCTTGATCAACACCTGGTCAGGGTAGAATAACTATTAGACTATAAGAAGTATCTATAAACACATGCAAATAGTAGTAATACATTCAAGGGATCAGAGCAAATAAGGCGCTTAAGATAAAAATGTAGCAACGACATACGTGAAAGTGAAAATTTAATGCAGATAAAAAACTTGAGAAAGAAATTGTTCGCATCCTGTGTAGACGTTTGCATTTTACGTAAATGCAGGATTAAACATGAGCTTTTCAAGGTTCGAGCAAAGCTTACCATGATTGAGGAAGTCAACCATAATGTTGTACTCCTCCATGTCCGACCGCTGACGGAAGCCCACAGGCTGTACAGGTGGTTTTTCTTTTGGTGGCAACACAGCCTCTAGTTTTTCTCGCTCCAAAACCACAACAGGGGCCGCTTTCTCTTTTACTTTCTCCAACCTGACATCTTCCTTGTCTTCATCTGCAATGGTGTGAGGAGTGACGTCATGAGCAAGATAACAATTTAAAGTCAATTATTCACGAGGAGATACAGACTACAATGGGGGGTCACTGAATCTGAAGGATACGTATAGAATTTAAGTCTCAGCTGCAAAAAGCTGACGCCAAAATGGGAATATTATCATTAATTAACGATATTTGTATTATTTAAATCAGAGACGTACCTTTATGATCGCAACAAAAGCAAAATGCATTTCAATCAAGTTCATGAAATAGATAGCGATGTGACAAAAAAGTATTAAAAGTTATACAGAAATAAATTGCACCTGGCGGCGTGAGACATGTAACATCCGGAATCTTGAGGGAGCAATAGCTGTGTTCACTCAGCACAGGGTGTCGGAGGTCAAAAATATCTGTGATTAGGGACTTGTCTTCCTGAGCAGCTTTGTCTGAGGCTGCCGCGCTTTCCTCGCCTTTGACCTGAACAAGAGAACACGTCTACAATTTGATGAAGGTAGAAACCGATAAAAGTGATAACAAAGTGACTATGTCATTGTCTTAAGCAATAACAGTTATTAGTTAGTTATTTAAGCAACACAAAGAAATCAGTTCTGAAATATAATTGATTCGAGTGAGGCACAAAATGTAACTCAGCATAATGATGCAAGACACTGCACCGACATCAATGAAATTGATTGCTGCGTCTTATCAGACAAACAATCCTGAAAACTGTCGTTTTTGCACAAACATGAAACAATTAATTCATGCAGATATAATAATTATTGGTAGTAAGAGAATCAGCAACCAATGAAGTAAAAGGGGATACAGTGTACCAAAAAATATAATAAATGGCAAGTGAGCATGAGTGCTCCTGTCTCCTTCGACAGCCCGCACCTCGGAAGAAGCTGCGCTAGGAGAAGATAACAATTTAGCCCCTGCCGTGGCAGGAGTCGAGTCGTCGTCCACGACGATGAGGTCCTGGTCCATGGGTTCATCGGGCACGTCGTTGTCGGAATGGTCACCGAACGCATCGTCGGAGTGCACGGATGCGGGAGGCAGGGGCGTCGCCGCTCGTTCCTCCGTCTGAGGCGTGGCGCTCCGCCGCAACAACGACGAGCGGATCTCGGCCTCCGCCACCTGTGCCGGACGCGGTGCATGGTAACATATTCACTATGACCCTTCAAAAATTGTCAATTGATAAGAAATAATATAATAGAATAATGCATAAATCACGCAATGTCAATTTCACAAGATATTATTACCGAGTCAGACATTGAAGCTACCTAGAGCATCACAAGAACCATCGAACGAAAAATATTTAATGAATAGAAAAGCGAAATAGCTGAGTAAGTTTTCCAACTGCCGCTTCAATAGCCATATGGCCTATCAAGCTCATCACAACTCACCTTTGCTGCCTCGCTTTCATCCCCAACAAGCGTCTCAATTTCAGTCGACTGAAGCTCTTCGTCATCTGAAGATTCTGATGACGTGGCAGCTTCTGACGATGATACTGAGGAGGAAGATTCTTCAGATGATGACTCGTCATCCTCGTCGGGAGCTGCCTCGTCGTCACTAGATGCTGAAGACTTGGACTTGACGTCTTCCTGCTCTGCTCTTTCGTGAGCGGCTTCTTCGTTGTCTGAAGACTTCGCGTCTGATTCATCCGAGGCTGAGGACACGAAGTAAAATAAGTAAAACAAGAGGGAACATATGACCATATTTGTGTAGTCTATAGTAAAATAAAAAATATAAATATTGTTAGACGAACAATCTCTTATGCAAAAGATTGTTATACAATGAGAAAAAATTAAATACGCAAACAAAATGGGGAAAAAAGTAATGCAGGTTGCGGGAATTCCCGAGAGTCAACTCACTGTTTCGTGAATTTTTTAATTAGTTCACCATTTCAGTCAACACACAGACCACACACACACACCGCAACACAACACGAAGGACATGAACAGAAGTTAAGTACAAGGAAAATCATGCAGAAACACAATCAAGTAGCTTTCAGTAAATAGGTATAATCAAGAAAGAAATATTTTTCAAGACCATTGCCTCAGTTTTTAAGGAGATAATAGAGTAATTTCCACTGAATATATTCTCAAAGAATATAACTCAGTACTCACTGCAGTGAGTGACAGAGAGCGCATTTTCTCGTCGACGAAAACTTGAAGTTACGGACAGACAGACGGACGGACGGACGGACGGACATGGCAAGCACAATAGTGCATTTTTTCCATAAATGAGAAAATGCGCTAAAAAGAAGTAAGTACCTATATCTGGCGACCATTAGAGCTGTCATAGACTCACATGTGAGGACGGTGTCAGCCCACTTCCTGCGGCTCTTGTGCTGACGTTTGGGCTTGTCAGCGCCGCTCTTCTTGCCGTCGTCGTCAGCCTCGGACGCGCTGGCGTCAGCGTCAGATGATGACGTCGACTCCAGTCTTGCTTTGCCGCTCGCTTTCTTGGCCATGGTTGCTGCAATATATTCAAACCAGGTTATATATAATAATCATCTACTGCTTCATTGTCTTGAATATGATAAGTGTTTGTTTTCATAAACCAATACAAGGTACAGGAATATGGTATTACAGGATTTCTGTTACAATTTTAGTGCATAATCAACAACCTTAGAGCGAAGCTTGTTCCTGTTCTTAATAGTTCAATATTGAATGAATAATATGTTAGGTCATGAAACCAGTAATATATTGACCTAAATATTCTACGAGCCATTTTATAATGACCAATAAATAAATTAATCAACGTGAATAATGAAATTCAAGACTTCGAAGCTGTAACATAAGAAACCTGTCAGAATACACATTTTCAACGATTTAATTTGAAACAACCCCTAAAAAATTTTTTTCTATAATAATTTAGTAAAATTAGTATTATATTTTAATGATAGGACGTGCGTAGAACCGACATGTTGGGGCAGACGAGCCAGCGGACATGTTGGCCTCGTCATCAGACGGAGCCTCGCGGCTGTCCTCGTCAGCTCGCGGGGGCGACGGTGGCTTCATTTTACGCTGCAAACAATGCCAAGAAGGGCTTTTTTCAAAATGAAGTAATTCTTAGGTTCTTTATTAAGTCTAACAAATATAGCGAGTCGTCTGGAAATTAATTAAGTTTGGTAATTTGAAGAGAGAAACTTAACTCAACTAACTAAGTGGGTTAAAAATTTTATATTAATCCAATTCAGACAGGCTATGCATCCTGATCAGAGGATCTTTAGGCCCAGAGTTTGAGCCTACTTTCAATTTGATTTTCGTTTTTGCAATAACTAAAATAATATAACAGGAATTGAAAGACATGGTAATAAAAAGCGATTAGACTTTGTACGGAATAACGTGTAGGGAACAAAATATTTACCGAGTCAAGATACCAGGAGTAGAATTCATAATAAATGTATTTGACTATGAAATACAGCCACTCCGACAAAGAGGTTATCAGCTAGGCAGATGATCTGCGGAGGTTTCGTCAAGTCAAGCGTGACAAGAGCTGTCAAGAGCACGAGTAAAGACGCTCATTATTGTGTGCAGGAGGCACAATGAAGAAAATCTGTGCCGGTATCATGTTGAGTAGTACATGTGTAGTGGAAGTAACAACTTCTTCAATGACGAGTACTATGTTCGTTTCTACTACCTGAATGAGTAGAAGTTTTCAAACTCTCCCCTATTTAAACCAGTAAATTTGGCGACCTCTAACTTGCTCCAAGCCAAAAAAACCTAAATTTCAACGTGCATGGGTGTCTGATTAAAGCCTTTTCAGTCACGCATTACCGAAGATAGCTCTAGCTTTGGTCGGGAAACGCAATTCTACGTATAAATTAATTAAACTAGAATTAGTTAATATACAATTATCAAAGCAAAAAGTTTGCGCGTGGACGAGAATACATAATTCGAGCCCCGTTTAAGTACGCAAGGCGTATGGACACGTTACTGTATCGACGCCAGCAAAACCAAGCACGAAATGTTGTGGTCATTGAGTTTTGCGTTAGAATTAAACATATTTCCCCATTAAATAGCGGTATTTTATGTAGAGTGTTTCATTTTGACCTTAACGTACTTCGTTTGCCAATATAAACCTAGAGAGAACGTTACGATCTCGCCTCCTAAAACGCCTCGGAGCCACGCTACCTAATTAAATGAACTGAACGAAATAGAAGAGGAGTAGAAGAATATTAAACACAGAGGTGAGTTGGAGTTATGGCAGGAAGGATGATGTCGTTGAAGTTGTATTGTCGATAATTGTGCTGCTTAATTACGAGGCCATTTTCAAAGTAAATGATATAAAAATGCTGACGGATGGAAGAAAAAATGTCATCATTTTTTTCCAGTAGGATAAGGTTTAAAAAAAAATGACATTAGCAATCAAGCTATAGTAAGAAATATCTCGTATTCAAACATACCAGTTACATACGTAAATTACAGTGAATACATTTTGCAATACCAACCTAGGGAACAATTACAGAATATCACAAATTTTAACATACTTTTATGGTGTAATAACTCACAATTTTCCTGAAGGAGGGCATTTTGGGCATGGCAGCCCTAAAGCCAAGTCCCCGGATGCCCAGCGGGTCCACCCCCCCGAAGGCCCCCGCGCCCTCCTTGTCGAAGAGCGACGCCAGCGTCGACACCCCGGGGGCGCTACGCTCCCCCCTCACGCCCCCAGCCGGCTGCTGGTCCTGGTCACGCTGGGGGCACAGAAAATATATGATGCCGGTGTGCTGACATATAAATGATGCTGGTGTGATGACATCAGTAAATGATGCTGGTGTGTTGACATCAGTAAGTGATGCTGGTGTGTTGACATCAGTAAGTGATGCTGGTGTGTTGACATCATGTGTGTTGACATCAATAAATGATGCTGGTGTGTTGACATCAATAAATGATGCTGGTGTGTTGACATCAGTAAATGATGCCGGTGTGTTGACATCAGTAAATGATGCCGGTGTGTTGACATGAATAAATGATGCAAGTATGGTAATATAAATATGAAAATTAAAGTACGTATTAAAGTAATTAAATTGCTGAAGTATGGTCATTCCATCAAGGAATAATGCAACTATCTTCACATCCACGAATGATGCGGTTATGTACAACGCAGCAATGAAGAAGGCCGCTTTATTCCCTTCTTCAAGTTTAAGAAACTATGTGTATCATTTCTTAGAACACAACAATTAGACCCACAACTGCATGACGCCAAAACCTCATTGCAGGGACACGACGTCGCGTGTCGACATTATGTCTGACCAGATAATTCCTGCATAGAAGTATAATCACTAACTCTCTTGCCGTTAATTTCTCCTGGTATAAAGAAGTGCATCATTAAAGTTAACTTAATTTTAATATTAATACAGTATTAATAACTTACTTTGTGCGAGGACTGGTTGGTGTCCCACCAGGCCTCGTAGGTCTTGAAGGCCGTCATCTCGATCATTCTCTTCATGAAATCTTTTTTGAGGATCCGCATGAGCTCTTCAATGACCACAGCCAGCACGCCGCTGATGTACGAAAAGAGTACAAACACAATTACATGACATATAATTACCATGTCAATGAGACAATCAAGCAATCGGCAAAATTATTTCACATTATTTGGTCATCAGCGAATCTACAACTTGTTCATAAAACACAGACATTATTTATTCTCTAACAATAGATATGCTCGAATATCATTCGGTGATAAAAGAGTATTTCACATCACAGGCTACATTAGAGAATGAAAACTTGTCAATGATGAAATTTTTTAGTACCTAGCTCTTTTAGGAAGGCTATATTAATTGAAGAGCAACATAAAGAAAGCATGCGAGTTAAAGAAACATCGACTCACTTAAGCGTGGGCTGGTGGTAGGCAGCAGAGTGTCTGGCAGGCACCTTCTGCTGCAGCTGCTGAGGCTGCGGGTGTTCACTGTACGGGTCCCCGTAATAAGAATAAGCTTGCTGCTGGTGCTCAGGCCCGTAACCGCCGTAGGACAAGTGCGGGGGGAGGTGATGCATGTCGTGAGGGGGACATGGGTACGAGTAGGGGGGTGGAGGGTGAGGAATAGGTCCTGGTGTGTACCCCATGGCGGGGTGATGCTGGTCGGGATGTGGGGGAAGAGGTGGCAGAGAAAGAGGGGGAGGCAACGGAGGAGCAGGTGGGTGTTGTTGAGTAGGTGGAGGTGGGTGGAATGGAGTGGCTTCGGATGTCTCGCCCTCTTCGGAGCTCACACTCGACATGCTCATACGATCATCTTGAGTGGCCGCTTCTTCTATTCTAGCTGCTCTCTCCTTAGCTTCCTCGCTCTCTTTCTTTCTGCGTCGTCGCTCAGCTTTCTTCTCACGCATTTTCTTCAGCCGTTCTCTGTTCTCTTCTCTATCCTTTTCTCGTGCTTCTCTCTTGAGCTGACGACTTTTCTCAAACCAGAGGAGGTATTGTTCACTTGAGATGAACGGGGACGGAGGAGCGGACAAAGGCTTCTCATCAGCGTCACTAGCATCGCTCTTAATGGCATCGTTGCTGGCACTGTCTTCACTCGGAGACTCCCAGTCACTGACTCCAGCAACCGAACTTGCTTTTGAAGACTTTTTCTGTTCATCAACTGTTTTGGCTTGGGAAGCACCATCGTTAGTTTCCTTAGGAACTACAATTTCGGCATCTACTGACTTCACTGTGTCATCAGCAGGTGCGGTAGAGGGTTCCTCTTCTTCTTTCTTCTGATCGTCAGCAGCTTCTTCTAAACCAAGTCCTAGGAAGGACGCAGCCATGCCACCATCTTTACTCTGTAATAACATTGCAATTCTCGTGTCCAAGTCAATATGATCTTCTTCCTCCTCCTGCGCTCTTTCGTCTTCCAAATCTTCAGATTCTTCGTCCGACACTCGCTCGGCGCCGCTTATGCCATCCACGATATCATTTCTGAGCCCTGCAGCTACACTAGATGCTTTATTATCATTGTTAGTGTAAGATTTAGCGGGAAGTCGAGAAACTTCACTTGGCGATTTTACTTTTACTCCGTTAGTTTTGTGACTATTTCTTACATGTTTACTACTAACACTAAAGTCGTCTATAGGGTCATTCCTGTCTTTTCTAGGATCATGATTGTGTGATTGATTATAGTTGAGGTGGGAAACGGTGCCGTTGAGACGAGTGGTCCGTTCTTGGTCTTGGAAATCTCGGAATCTCGCCTCCCAAGGATGAGGAGGATAATGGTCTTTTGGACAAACGTCTTTAGACGGCGGATAATGATCCTTGGACGGTGGATAATCTTTGGGAGGAGGATAATGGTCTTTAGGTAAAAGATAGTGATCTTTATGAGCTGGGTGAGGTTCTTTGGAGGTATACTGATCTTTATGTGGAGGATAATGGTCCTTGGCAGAATCTTGGTGAGGATAGCCACCCCAAGGTGCCTTGGATCCATCCAATGGAGTGTACCTGGAGATCGTAGAACAAACTTCAAATGATGGGTTTACCTCTGAGCATTGTCATTTAACTACAAAGACCCTAGAGTGAAGACTTCACGCTAAGTAAAACATACCAATATTTTTCAACAGATATAAGCAGTCATTTGCATCGCACTTGAGATAAAAACAACTTGGAGTTCAGAGGATTCGGTTGATTTATTTTCTTAAATTGTGCAATTTCAGAGTGTGTTTGATAAGGTTTAACATTTTTACACATGCACAAAGTTGACAGTTTGTTAACTTTGAATTCTAGTTGTCGAATTATAAATTTAAACTACAAAACCTTCGAACACAAAACATTTGAATTTAAATGTAAGTTAGCAATGGGCCACTACGAGCTTTGAAGGAAAATGTAAACACAAGCTTTAAATATGCATTAGCTGATACTCTTCACACTCATGCCTTCTGAATGGTCAACTCAGAACATCAACAACACAGACTTTGCGGGGCAATTTTTAAAACTTAATAATTTAAAGATCGAATTGGGTTTTGAAGAATTACGCTCTGCGCGAGGCAGGTTTAGAAACAAGTTTCAGGTAGCGACGCTCGGCAGGAGCTGCCCAGCGCGGCAACTTACGGCGGCCGGTAGTCGTGATACGGAGGGTAGTCTGGGAAGTGGTGGGGCATGGGGGGCTCTGCAGGGGGGATTCTGGGAGGAGGAGCTGGAGGAATTCTTGGGGGAAGGGCATGGGGTATGAAGTGTGGAGAGAAGGGATGAGTTGCAGAAGGTGGTGGGTAGGCAGAAATGGGAGGCGCAAAGTTCTGGATGGTGTGAGGGTGAGAGGGATGGAGCGGTTGCTGCAGTGAGTGATTCGCTTCATCTTTATTATGTCTGAAAAAACAAATGAGTGCATAAGTGATAGATAAATACGTTTCAACTAAACAAATACAATCTTTCTCGTAACTGTGCCGCTCTCAACAACAAACTAATGCTCCTAGATTACATCTGATGGCCTGAATTTTGGTCATGAGACACTAAGGAGTCTGCGACGCGGGGTAAAAAGAAATAACTAGAACTTATCAGAAGCGACGAGAAATATTGGAAGAAGCTAAAACAAAATTTTAGCTATCTACCAACTGGATCTTGACAACAAACAGTGCAATAAATTCAGCAATATGTATCAACTGCTACAGCAAGTCGTAGTATGACTCCATACCTTCTGCTGGAGTCCACACTGCCGTCTCTGAGATGCTTCACCACGTCCTCAGAGGAACTTTCCTGCACAATAAATTGCCTTATTCAAACCTAAGTCTATTTTTATAGATAATTAGAGGAAATACCTAACCATTAAACACATCAATACTTTCATAGATAACGAGCAAGTTCACACATTACCTAAGATGTGTCAAGCAGCAGAAAGAACTTTGATACGATAATAAATATTCAAATTCGAAACATATAACAGAATGATATGATAATGGAGTAAAAAAATTTATTTTTAACTAAATAGGAAATTCGTATCAATATGCTAACATATCAATAAATATGTTTGTTAGAAATATAGCAGGAGTTTGATGAAAGCAACCTTGATGTGAGAAGTTGTGAGGGCGGGGGTGTTGAGCTTGGAAGGAGGAGGGGGAGGTCTTTTACGCGCCTCCTTAGCCTCTTCTTCCTTCTTGGCCTCCTCTTCCAGAGCGCTGCTCAGCTCTGCCACACGAGCCTTGCATTTCTTCCCTAGGTTGTTGAGAAACATACGAGAATATAAATGCAAACAAATTAAGCTATATTTTTTTTTTCTAATTAATCCCAGGTTTTTTTTTGCAGTTTAGCGACCGTCATAAAATGTTTTTCTTAGTGAATGAGTGTTGCATCCAACAATGCAATAAAAACTCTATGTCCAACGCAGCAACGTTTGTATATACATAAATACTTTCGATATCAGAAGTGATAGAATAGCAGATATATAAGTGAGTGAAACGAACCAAAAGGGTCCAAGAAGACGTGAAGTTTGCGCCCCATGAGTGTAGCATCATTAAATTTAGCGACGCAGTTCTGTGCAGCATCGGCGTCCTGGAAGAGCAGGCGCGCCACCCCGAGGTGCTTGTGAAGAAACTCGTGCGAATAAATGCTGAGCTCCTCCACAGGTCCACATTGGTGCTTGCATACCTCAACCACGAGAAAATAATACCAGTTAATTACACAGAAGACAGTGGCTGAACATACAAGATGGCACTATTGCAAGAAAACATGAAATAGTTTGTGCACTAAATTAGTTAGTGGCACTGCCTAACAAGTACGAAAACTTATTTTATATCGCACTTCGCTGACACCACGTCTCAAACAAGCCAATTCAAACGAAAAAAAATAATTCTTTTGTAAACTTCAGGAGGGCGCATTATATTCAAATGAAAACAAATAAAACTCACAATTTCGTTGTAGAGGAATTGCTTATCAATGTTATCGTTGACATTGAAGATGGTAACTTCCAGGGGCGGAGGATCACACACGTAGTTGCTGTCAATCTGAAAAATAAAATACGTAAGTAAACAGTTCCAAATTAATGTAAAAATTCAATCAATCTTCATTGAACAATTAAAAGGCAAATCTAAGTTACTGAAATAGAAAAGGGCTGAACAATTAAAAATATGATAACCGTTTAATAAAATACTGATTGCATTTTATACACTCAATAACACGACTCAGTATGATATTATGAAGAGACTCAATAAAACCATAACTTTTATAACTATTAGAGACCTGGAAACGAGGAATAGGTAAATCCATAGTCTCGGAGGAGATCCAGAGCCGGGGCTTGCGAGGATCTCGTACAGGCAGCACAGGAAACATACTCTGGCCTTCCACAACTCCCTCAAATCTGAGAAAATTATAATTATTTTAAGGTAGCACATGAATATTCATCACAAATATGCTAGCAGAAGATTTTATAGCCTAATTTTTGTGTATGTGAGACTGGAAACACTCAAGTGGACAAAGCTCCATTGAGTTCTGTATTCTGTATACATTTTTTATTCTTTTGAATAGAAAACAAAATTAAGCCAAAAATTCCAGAATAAAATCTATAAAAAAATTACCTGTATGTTTTTGTGTTGCCAGTGCCAAGAAGAGGATCAGCCATGAGCTTGTAATTGCGCTTGAGAGGAGGTTCAGGATGCTGACTTGACCCATGGCTGCTGCCCTGCTGCTGATGGTTCCATCTGTGACTAGTGGGAGGTTGCTGGCCATGGTTATGTCTGTCCATCCCCTCACCAGCAACTGCAACAAGCAATTTGGACATGAGTGCAATGCTTTGTGAGGATTAAGCTAAGTAGGGACGTATTTTAGGGTAAAAGAGTAAAAACCATATTCGCAGACAGTGGCTAAACTCAACAGCTGACACTGACCACTCTTACACTGAACGCCGGCGCCATAGGTCAGTAATGCCCTAATTAACGTGTCCTCGTAATAGGAAATCGTCGGAATTTTCCATACATGTAGCCCGTCTATTGTGCAGAACGTAAGAAACAATCAAGGGGCCATGCTAACCTATCTTGAATCGATTAGTGCCGGGTGGGCAGACATCTAACACTACGACGAGACTTCAAAGGCCACCACGACACGGCTGCACTTGCGGAGCGTCAGCGCTCTCGTCAGCTCCTACGTCAGTCACCTTGACTGCTACGAAAAAATTTCCCATAGAAATTTATTTCTTTTGTCATTTTATAACTCTATTTATTTGTTCCTTTCTGAGTACTAATTGCTCATACTTGTTCTCCGAATACCCTGCCATTTTGTCGACCTTCTCGAAGGAATTCTGTTATCTTTAGAATCGGTGGACGAGGGTAAATTTAGAGTAGATTATCTCCCTATCCGCGTGACATCTTAGTCAGTTTGTCGCATACTACATCAATCTTAATTTTGTTGGCGGCGGAAAAATTAGTTTTACTTTGATAATCAGGTGTTATAGCCGGTAATCCTATCATTATTTGTACATGCATAACTTTTGTTTATTGTATATGACGCTATCTCAGGAACAGCAGATAATTTCGCAGCGCACGGTCTCGCAGCTCAAGCAAAAAAATGATACAACTGTCGTATAGGCCATAGGGGATATGAGCTCGACGCTTACGTTCTAGAGCAGCAGAAGTTCCTGAGAGATGAGCGTGAACGCGCGCGCGAGTTAGGGAATATTCTACTCGAGACGGAGTAGAGTTTGATGAAAACGAGAGTGAGAGCTACGGTAGACAACACGAAACTTCCGTGTCTTCGGTCCGGAGTAGAGCTGGCTATATGGAGATCGATAGCTTACAGTCCATTGCTAATAGACCCTAAGTGCCTAAGTTTAGGGATGGAGATGACATCGCTGCTATTTTTATTGTATTTAATATAGCCGCAGAATTTCTTAACAGCAGCGCAGATTCCCATTCAGCTAGGAAAGGAAGTTAGTTTAACTACTGAAGTGACACGTGATTATTTCCGGTTGAACGCTTTGCTTGCTGGGCTCAACAAAACCCCTAATAACTATCCATTTTTTTTAATCCGCTAGAATCGAACCACATGAGACGTACGAACAATTCGTATGTAGCTTGAGACGCAAGCTCAATTATTGGCTGCATTCTAAAAAGACCTCTAAAACTTCTTATGGTGTCTACGAGTTAATTCTTAGAGAACAATGAATTGCTTCTGTCAGTCCAGACTCACGGCTATACTTGAGAGAGTGAAACCCATCCTCCTATTGAGGAACTTGTCAGTCTTTCAAACAGTGGGCTTCTGCGCGAAAAATTTACGAGTTGTCTAATGAGCTTCCAACCTTTGCAGGAACCGCTATTTCCAGTAAGAAACATTTACTCTGCATATAACAAACTGGACGACAAGACTAGATAGTATGCGTTCGTTGCCACGATACGGTACGGAGGGCCAAACGAAGACTAACTGACCCCAAAAAAACCCAGCTTATACTAAAATCACACCGCTCGGGCTAACATTTGCTTTAACGAAATACACGCAGCAGATAGGAAATACAAAGCATCTGGAACGGAAGAGAGTTTACTCTATTGTACGCAATACAGGTTGCAGTTGCGTGATCGTGTAATCAGAGTTAATTCCCGATACCAGCGTGTGCCCTGAAGAAACTGTTCAGGTGACGGATTATCTCGGCAGAGTCTATGAACTTCCTGTTATCAAGCTTTAGGTAAATTGCCCATTACTTTCTTGGTTGGACAAATACCGCTGTGGCCCCCAATTAAAATTTTCTCTGTTGTACATAGTAATATTCTGAGTGTGCAATGTCGATTGTTCGGAGCATCAGCGACTTGACGTCTCGAGGATTCATTGATAGAAGAGACTTAAAATAAGATGAATTCCTCGCAATCCGGACCCGTGCCAGTTCAAGCAGTTGGCAAATGCACCCATAAATTTCTGACTTAGACTGCTTCATTTGTCACCGCGGTACAAATCTTGAATTTGTAGTCCACTGGCGCATCACTAGGCGTAATTAGGAGGAAATTAATTTCTGGCGAGACTAAAAGATTAAATGACGGCTCCAAAATATTGATTTGTTCGTGGGAATGGCCTTCTGGGTCGATTATGCGCGAAAATTTGAGTTGCTCGCAACGTACATTTGAAATATTTAATTCTACTAATAAATTGTCGCAAAATTGCGCTTTCAGTCGCTGAAGAATCTGTGTTGGCTAGTCGTATTTTTGCTCGCAACGAAGTCAAGCATTTCCGTTTTTTCTGGCCATGATTTAACTATGATAATCGTAACTTGGTGGCGTTAGGTGATGAATGCCAGCGTATCAGTGACAAGCATATTAAACCTGCACCACTGACGAGAATGTCTGGATGCGTCTGGATGGACATAGTAGAACAGCTCTTACCCGATGCAATCCTGCTAGCGCAGTGGTTCCCAAAGTGGGCGATATCGCCCCCCTATGAGCGGTGGAAAGATTTTGGGGGCGGTAAGGAAAAAGAGGACGACAGGAGGGCGGTAGTACAAAGTCAGAAGTTCGAACGTTTGTTTGACGGTTTGTTAACAACATGTGCAGCATATGACACCCAGGGATGGTTTTTTCACCCAGATCTGTTTTTTAACCTCTCCTAGGTTTACGTCTCGGAGAAATTAACGGTCGGACTCGCGGCCGGTCTCACGGACAATTTCCAAATTCAATGATCAAGAAATATCTCTCAAACTAATCAATGTAACTCGATGAAATGTTTGGCTCGTAAAATTTTTTTGAACTTTTCCTTCATTTTTGAGTTATATGGCAATACAGGCCGAAATTCACAGTGATCAAGGAATTTCTTCAAAACTAACTGAACTGATTCGAACGAAAATTTGAATTTACAGTCTTAACTACCGAACGGTACTGTTTAGCTCGCGAAAATTTTTTCGATTTTGCCTTCGCTCGCAAGTTTGTTTTTCATTTCACATTCATTCGTGATTTAAACAGCAAAACGTGCTTAAATCCGCAGTAATCAAGAAATTTCTTCCAAACTACTGAACAGATTGGAACGAAACTAAGTATTTAAACACCTAACCTCAGCAATGGTGATGTTTAGCTCGTTACAATTTTTTCGATTTTACCTTCGTTTGCCAGTTATACGGCTATACGTGAACGGCTCTTGGTTATACCGGCCGGTAGAAAAGCCGGTCGTTTCTCCTATATCTGTATAACTCGCGAACGAAAGCAAAATAGAAAAATTTTCACGAGCTAAACCTCGCCGTTAGGAGGTTAGGTATTTATATACAAAGTTTCGTTGAAATCTGTTCAGTACCAGTAGTTTAGTTTGGTTGTTAGAAATGTATATTCAAAATTTCGTTCAAACCTGTTCAGTAGTTTGGAAAAAATTCTTTGATCACTGAGAGTTTCGGCCTGTATCGCAATATAAGTCACGAATATAGGTGAAATTTAAAAAATTTCACGAGCTAAACATCATTGTTAGATTCTGTTGAGTACATGTTCCAAGTTTCATTGAGCTGCGTTCCTTAGTTTGGGAGATACTCCTTGATAATTGAATTTAGAGATTGGCGGTGAGACCGCCACTAGTCCGGCCGAAAATTTACCCAAGAAGTCCTGGGTTTCTAGAGCTGAAACAGTTATAACAGCTGAAAAACATATTGGTTTACCAAATAGGGCTCTATTAGTGAAATACAGATTTGTCTTTAACCTTTCTCTTTTAAAATTGCAGCGTACTAAATTTCATGAAAGAGGCGTATGTTTTTATAGGAGTCTGTGGTGAGGGGGGGGGGCGCTAGAAATTCTCCAAGGAACCAAAGGGGGCGCCAGCCTGAAAAAATTTGGGAACCACTGTGCTAGCGCAACAACTTATTCCATGGCTGTTGCCGAAGCCCTCATAAATTTTTCTTGCGTTGGAATACCACGCGAAATTTTAAGCCACAACCAGGCCAACCACAACCCTGACATGCTTCTGAAGTATCATCATACTTGAAATTAAATCCTGCACCTGCTGCTACATCTTAGGAAATCTTTCATCTCATGCTACAATCTTAGAAAATCTTGCATCCGATGCTACCGTCGTATACTGTTGATTGTTGAATTAATAATGAATAAATTTTCCAGTGTAATTTGAACATAAATTATCCAACAAATTAGACCATCTCACTTATGCAAAACCTTCCACCAATTCCACAAAATGTTGTTAAGTTGTAACTTGATCTGCTGCAGGAACTTGGTCAAGGGAATATTGGTCAATACTTACATATAATCAAATGAATTGAACAAAAGAAGTAATTCCTTCCACTGGCCAAGACCCATAGACTTCTATCCTTCCTATTGGCTTTGAAGATACAAAATATACCTGCTTAATAAAACTGCTTCATTGTATGGAAATTTCATGTCCATATATTTTGATTGAAATACATGGCTCCAAACTCGTGTACCTATATAAATGTTTGGATCTTGTAACGGAATAAGCACCACAGTAACGTTCCTGATACGAATACACACACCCCAGTAACATCTGGGGTGCTTATTCTTAACAAAATCAAAATTATTTGCTTCACTTTCAAATTATGCTACATTTATTAACATAGTCTTTTTAGAACAGAAAAAATAACTGCTATGGACATGTTGTTTAGGTTCTAATATTCACAGTTAGGTCAGCAGCATGCATTTAACAACTGGATTACTATGTAACTAGAACAAAAATAAGAAAAAGAATGTCATTACATGCTGAATTACCTCTAACTTGATAGAAAGTTTAATATTCTATCCATGAAGCAACTAATGAGTGATGGCATTGAGAAAACTTTT